GGTTATTTTAGTTTGTCGATATTCCTCCCTTCCTCTCTTTCACACCCACACTCAGTCATACACATTCTTGTTTCTATTACTTAATCTTGACACATTCTTATTTATTGCATGTGTCTTGCTTTTGTAGTGATAATAAACGGTCTCAAATTGCATTTGTGACCTTCTAGGATGCACAGGGAGAATAGACTACAGTTCTTCTCTCGGTAGCTCTCTCTCTCTCTCTCTGTTTGTGTGTGTGTGTTTATGTGTGTTTTTGTGTAAAGGTTCTTTTACCTTTACATTTCATTTTTCTTGAGGCTTATCTTGTTCAAACTGGAAATGAATTAGTAATGTTTATTGTTATTAACAATGCTCTTATATCAGCAAGCACCATCAGTTGTGGATGAATCCAGTTTTGTCAAACTAAAATTACCTTGCTCTTGACCCAAGCTTATCATATTTTCCTCCATCTCTTGTAAGGACTCTCTTCATTTCATACCTCTATTGATTGTCTTTTTTTGAACTTTCCAATCTCAGTGTGCCACAATTTTCGACATGACCGTCGAAATGCCGACCCCGACTACAAGCTCCCCCTCGCAGCTTTCGCTCCTCCTCTGGTAAACAGATTCTCTTATACCCTCAAAATTCTCATATTATCTCGCAATAAAAAGAAAAAAAAAATCCTCCTTTACACGAATTTCAATTTCAGCAGGCGTTAGATATGAAAACCGAGTCCTCCTTTATGATTTGTTAGCTAATGTTGGCTCTGTGTACCAATCTGTGCATAATCTGGATGATGTAACTGTTACAGGGCTTGTCGATTAATTGATAGCTACATATTTGATGAAATTACACTATACCCATTGGTTTTTTGTGGTGGTGTGTATCAATTGGCCACAAGTAGGTTGGCCGTTTTCTACTCAGCTGAAGAAGCGAATAGAGATAAATAACTATCTCTTAGTTTCAAGTTAATTGTGTGCTTGGATAAATTTGTGCATGCAGTTATGCATGATCTTTGAGCATGCAACTTCATTGAAAAATTGAGTTCTGGAATAATGGTGATTAAAGTGGTGCTTTTTAGATGTTTGGTCAATGGGTTACGTGTCATTCTCTTCAGTAATCTGATTGACATCTTGATGTGCAAAGTTGCATTTTTGTACAATTATTATCTTAACGTTATTAGATTAAAAAACGACCATGGATAAAAAAGTTACCCACCTTGCCTGCTCCTCTAAGGGCATTAATATGAAATCCAGCGAAAGCGCCAAAATAGAAATCAGTCCTCAGCGTGTGAAAATTTTAATTGACTTGCATTCAAGATTATGATTTGAATTAATTTTCGAGGCGTTTTACTTTAGCATATGTTATATTTCATTTTTGTGTTTTTGGACTAAATAATATGTGGTGCATCTCATATATTATTTGCTTCACGCATCACATGCCCCTTTTAGTTTTTAACTTTCTTTCATTCCTGCACTATATGAAATAATACCCAAGAATTGTTATATCCAATACTTATATGCTAACAAGTTTCATGTTGTTACAAATTGGGTTGGATACTTCTATGCTAACAAGTTTCATGTTGTTACAAATTGGAACATAAGCTATTTCAAACGGTATCTCGATGTATCTTGATATGATTGTGAAAAGTTGCATAGTACATTTTGTTTTCATAAGGAGTGTTCTAAAGAATTACACAATTACTATTACATACATTTGAATGTAAACTTTCGATTACGATTACATGCATTTGAATGTAAACTTTCGGCTTGATTGTCAATAAGTTATTCTCACCAAAGCTTGAAAGATTTTAACAAGTAGAGGTATATAGATTTGGCTATTACTTTAAAACATGAATCTTAAAAGCCTCCAAAGATTAATTTCTTATCTCTGATGTGCTTTGTGGTTTGCTGTGTTGGACGGCTATTGAATACTCAGATAAAGGTGTCAGCCTCGGTCTGCTATGTTGCTGTGTTGCTGTGGCTTTTTGGGTGTTTTTCTGCAATTGCTGTGTTGCTTTAGATATTATGTTGGGCTGCTGTTGGTTGTATTTTTATTAGTCTTTTTCTTTCCCTTCGTTTTGTGCTTAGAGTTTGGGAGTTTTAATTTTAGGGTACTATCATGTCCCTCTGGTTGTATATTTGTTTTTTGGGATAATTTGATCTCTCGCCTGTAAGACTTTGTTCCTATGTGATATGAGTATCTTCTGCCGTTTTTTAGGAGAAGAAAAAAAAAAAAAAATTGGGGTTGGGCCTTTCTCTCCATCAGTTTTTTTAAATTACTAGTATAGTACCCGTGATGCACGAGAACACTTACTACATACTTGTCTTTTAAAATGAATTTTTGTATTTAAATTTTCTTATATAAAAATATTATGAAAATGAAATTTTTATATTATTGAACACTTAATTATGTACAACATTCTTGGTTTGATTGATTCTTTGGCAGTAAAATACTACATGGGTGTTCGAACTTTATTTAAAATTAGGTATTAATAGTTATTAGTTAACAAATAACGTTTTTAAAAAAAATTAAGAGATTTTATTTATTAAACAAAATTCTTGTAGACAAAAAGTAGAGATTTTCTAGCCATATTATTTTATTTTTTAAAAAATCTAATTCGAATTTTGATTAAGAAAAATTAAAAAAAATCATTAGTTTTTCTTAAACATGAAACTGAATTTTTTCACCAATACATCGATTTTTTATCAAATAAAATAATCTGAATATTTGATTAACAAAGTGAAAAGAAACATCAAATTTTCCTAAAAATGTGAGCAAATTTTTTAACATTGCACTAATTTTTTTACCAAAAATAATGAGTTGAAATTAATTCTAATAAGAAATCAAAATATTTTGGTAAGATTTATGCAACTGTTTCATTCCTATAAAATTGATATGAACTTAACAAAAAAATTGATACGAACTTACCAAAATTTCGAGAAATATGGTTAAGAAAAAACATTAAGAACCTAAAAAAATTGGTGCATTCAAATTTTGAAAAGTTGCACACAATTTTTCATTGTAAAAGTTGCACACTATTTTAAAATTGATTTATTTTTTTTTCTAAATAATTGGATAAGGTTTGACTTTAAATATCAAAGATGAACAGATTTTGTTACCAAAAAATGTGGATACTGGTAACGCAAAACACTCTGACCGATTGAAAATCGGCTCGCCTTCTTCCTCGTTGGTAGAACGCCGCGTACCTACAAAGAACTCTTACACCGGAAGGATTTTTCGGTGAAGAGCCTCCGATGCTTAAGTTGGTGTTTGTTCTACTCAATTCTCAAGAGTAAAAATGGATCAATCGTGTGTAACAGAAAGGCTCACCCCTCTATATAGGGATGAGATACCTGCCCTAGGAGCTGCCCGGATTTGATGAGCTTTCTGCCTAAGGCTGCCCGGATCTGCTCGTCCGTATTGTGTTAGAGGTGGTTATTGCCACTATCACCATGCACCAATGTATTCTCGCCATGTGTCCTCTGCACATGGGGTAATTATTCCTCTGAATGTTCCTTGAAAATTCCTTTAGAGACCCACGCGCTCTCCTACGTTTAAGTCACGCCCCATATTGCTCTTTCCCCACAGGGTGGTCGATCCGATGATCCCTTGCTTAGCAGGTCGATCTTCGACCAGATTCCTCATGTAATCCCGATCAGCGAATGTCCCTTATGGAGATTCTCTTCATCCCTCTTTCGACCATTGTCCTTCAGCTCAATAATGCAAGACCATCACAGCTCTCCCTATGTTGGATTTGCAAGACCGGTTGAGTGGACCAGTTTATTCCCATAGATATACGATATCCCATATCATCTAGTCCCCCCACTCTGGTCGAGTCTGAATGACTCGACCTAAGAGTGGATCTGTGTTAGCCCTTCGAGTTTTTCCATTGTTCGACCCCCCGACACCTTTTCTCTATTTTTCGACCGCTCAGTTGATTTTTCCTTAATCTTCAACCGTCCTTCTTTTCCCTCATCATTAATACAACTTTATTCTGCCACCTGTCCTGTCTGTCAGGTACATCCATCATCCCGTCTCCTCGCGATTTGCGTCCTTTTGAACCTCATGCCCAATAAATTTTAATATTATTCATATAATTAAATAATACAAACCATCATTTTTATACATCACATCAACTTTAATTCACTATTCATCCATTAATATAATTTTAACTACCTATCATTTTTAATCATTTATCTCTCACACTTCTACATCAAATCAATTTTAATTATTTTATTTTAAATATTATTGTAACACATTATTAAAATTTCACTAACAACTAGTGATACTATATTTTTCAAAATTAACTACGATTAATCAAAATAAGAACAAATTATTTCATAAACCATCAAGGCAGACATTGTTTTCTTCAATATCCTCGCATATCTCAGCCTTTTGGAGAGTAGTATATTCATTTTAGTGTGACACTGTTTTGGTCTCTGCAGCACGTCACACTGTTTTGGTCTCTGCAGCACGTCAGTTTTCACACACGTGACATGCGTGAAATTATCAAATTGCCTTACCTCGTGCTACATTTTGAAGGATATTGCTGTCATTTAACTATGAAAGCCCATTTTAACGGAACTTCTGCACGTTGTTTGTCAGATTTTTTGACCATGCCCACGCCATCTTCCGCTTCAAGTAGCCCAAAATCTTCTCCCATTTATTTTTCTCTGCTCTCGATGTTACAGTGGCGAGTTTGAAGCACCACCGACAATTTCCGTACGGCGATTTCTCACACACGCATACACACGCTAACTGCACACCATTGTCAAATTCAGCCCTCAAAACCCACCTTTCTGAGCTTCTTAGGTTGCATCCCTTGTTGGGTTCTTACTTTCCTTGAAGATGGCGACTGGAGCTCTAAAATCCTTCGACCTCAAACTGCCAATTCGAGCCTCGGAGGCCCAAAATCTAACATACGATGAAATGTATGCTTGCTAATCTGTAGGGTAGGTCAACCACGACACTTTGTAGGACCTTCTAAGAGATGGTATCTTCACTATCGATGGGGAAAAATGGCGACAAAGGAAGTGTCCAGTTTTAAACCTGAAGCCTCAAACTTTAGCAGTGTCTTCTTCAAGACCAATGACGCTAATCTCGCCCACATAGTTTCTTCAGGTGCGAATTCGAATGAGATAATAGGAATCCAGGTCACTATGTTCTGTTTTTCTTGTTAGTCATCTTATTGTCATTTCAGTTTGCAAAATAAAGAATTTTCGTTTCCAACAACTAAGCCTTAGTTTTCGCCGGGAGTCCCGAGGAGTAGTGGCATGTTCGAGAAGATTCAAAAGCTCGAGGATCGCGCGGGCAGGCTTTAGGATGAGATCGAGAAAGTCGACGCCTTCAAATGAGAGCCAGATCTGTGCTTTCTTCTACTTTGCGATGGTTAGATCCTTGCACTTTTACCATTTATGTTGTAATTTTTGCATCGTGTGGTTTGTTTTGCCGTAGTTTTGCTCCTTTTCTCTTGTTTCCCCGCCGATTTGTTTTGTGAAACCCCCTTTGTACTATTTGCATGCTTTGTGGCCGACTCTATGACACTAAGAAGACATACGAGCTGAAAAACATAACAATCCAAGACGTTCAACCCTTAAATGTAGCCAAGTTTAGTAAATTAGTTTTTTATGTTCTCAGGATTTGTGACATCATCAGGTAATAAATTTACCTTAAAACAAAGCATGTTATACAAGATTGCAAACATAGATGCCATTTTGCTCGAGCATAAATTCTCAGGCATTAAGTTGACACTAGAGAAATCTTGAAAAGACATAGGAAAGGTTCTTAAGTGGAATAAACGCAATAATTGGCAAAAACATGTGAACTGAGACATTAACTTCTGAACTCGGCAAAAAAATTTATAGAAGAAAATAATATTGTTCAAATTCTACTCTGAGACATTTCTCAACATACACTTAATTTGGGATATTTCTCAATAAATCGTCTTTCTCGGGGGATTCTAAGATAGACTAGTATATTACATATGGCTGAAATGTATCTGTGATGCAATTCTTTTGCGAGTGATGATAGATGATGGATTTTACCTGGATTTTTGGGTTTATTAAGGTAATCGGTAGTTTGATTTAATAATTTGTTCATCCTATTTGTTTATTAGGTCACACGTGGATTTGTGTCTGATTTACTTTTTATTAATTCATTGATTGAGCTACGATTGTTTTAGTTTTTATGTTATATATGGACTTCTGATTGTTGTCAGTTTCCTAGCTTCGTTGGTTCTTTTATTAAATAAGCAAAAACGCATTCACAAATATTACATTCACATGCACACCAAAAACAATATAATATTCAATCAAAAGANATTTCATCCTAAAAAAAAAAAAAGAAAAAGGACAAATAAATCAAGTGCACGCACGAACTTTAAATAAAGCAAGCATCGCCAAGAATCCAAGACTAACTTAGGGGATTACGAGAAAGAACTCCAAAGAGCTCGAGAATTTGCAGTCTAGCTGCCGCACTTGTTTTACCCGTGCATAAGACTCCTCCTTTGAGTGTGACTCCATGAGCTCGAAGAGCTCATCCCTAAGCTCCATTGCCCCATTGTGCGCTTCTCTCACCTTTCTCTTCTCCACCTCATAACGTTTATTGATTTTGGCCATCACAGCCTCTTGCTTAGCTTCCATTTTGCACAACTACTTCCATTTTCCATTTTTGCATCCCGTCATCGAACCCCGCATCTCATTTTATCCCCTGTTTATTCGACAACAACTGCCTATTCGACAACGCCACCTAAGAACGCTAGGTATATGGCCAGTCAAGTGCCAGACCCCATGAGAAGTCATACACCAATCATCACTAATGTAGATGTACTCGCCGTCTCCAAATGAGAGGTTTCAGGTTTGTACGAACGCTGACGGGCTAGGGCTTGTAGGTCCATGATCGGTGTGATGCGGTCAGATGAAAAATAAATCCACCTTCGCACATCACTGCAATGACTGACGTCTCGTCCATGAACCAGTAAGAGACGATGCGAGAATTGCAGCTGTAGCACGATCCTAGTGCTGCTTCCTGGTTATTCAACCAGGCCGCGGGGCTGGAGCCTAGCGGCTCCCATCTATCTATGGATGGTAGAGCTCAAAATCCACTACAGATGGTGCATCAGATACGCTGCCGGTGGTGGTGGAGGGTTCAGGGCTACTGATATGAGTCGAGAAGGCGATGATCTTGCCATCGGGTGTCGGGAGCATTCGCAAGTAATTTTTTTTCGAAATCAATAGGTACACATGCTCGACCATAGTGTGATTGACCCTCACTGGACGTCTGCGGGAAGTGGTGGTGCTGCTTTGGTATCTGGAGATTTCAATTATGCGAACATAATGAGGATCTGTAGATTCTTTCGACCCATCCTCACCTTCCATACCCGAGAGGAAGAGATTGAAATTCGAGCCGAGTAGGAAAACTCTCGAACTCGTGACACATGACATGTCGTCAAAGTGCTGCCCGCTCACCCGGAGCATAGAATATCAGTGTGACGTTTACCTCGGCCTGAAACATCACTGATATTCTTTCATCGACTCCTACGCTCCGGGTGACCGGACAGCACTTTGGCGACATGTCATATGTCACGAGTTCGAGTGTTTCCTATTCAACTCGAATTTAATACTCTTCCTCTCGGGTATGGAAGGTGAGGATGTGTCGAAAAAATCTGCAGATCCTCATTGTGTCCGCAAAATCGACATCTCAGATACCACAACAGTACCACCACTTCCCGCAGACGCCCAGTGAGGGCCGATCACACTATGGTCGAGCATGTGTGCCCATTGATTTCAAAAAAAGAAAAAGTACTTGCGATTGCTCCCGACACCCAATGACAAGATCATCGCTTCTCGACTGAGATGAGTCGCCCCGAATTCTCCACCAGCAGCGTACCTGACGCACCACCTATAGTGGATTTTGAGCTCTAGCACCCAGACATGGATAGATGGAGTCGCTACCCTCCATCCCCGTGCCTGGAGATCCATCCAGGAAGCAACAGCTTACCTCGTGCCACAGCTGCAGTTCTCGCATCGTCTCTTACTGGTTCATGAGCGGGGCGTCAATCTTTGCAGTGATGTGCGATTGTAGATTTATTTTTCATCTGGACCTGACTGCGTCACACCGATCATGGACCTACTTGGCCCGTCAGTGTGCATACAACCTCGCATTTGGAGACGACGAGTACATCTACATTAGTGATGATTGGTGTGTGACTTCTCATGGGGCCTGGCCCCATGCCTAGCGTTCCCATGTGGCGGTTGTCGAATACGCAGTTGTTGTCGTCGAATAGACATGGGGATAAAATGAGATTTGGGGTTCGGGACGTGGGCTCAGAGGGATTATCGGAGTCTACCTTGATTGACAATACGATGACGGGGTGCAAACTCAGCGTGTGTGAGTACACGTGCAACATTCGCTCGTACCTAAAGCAGTTGTGCAAAATGGAGGCTAAGCAAGAGCCTGTGACGACCAAAATCAATAAACGTTATGAGGTGGAGGAGAGAAAGGTGAGAGAAGCGCACAAGGGGGCAATGGAGCGTAGGAATGAGCTCTTCAAGCTTATAGAGTCACACTCAACGGTGGAGTCTTATGCACGGGTAAAACAAGTGCCGCGGCTAGACTGCAAAGTCTCCAGCTAGTTGGAGTTCCTCCTTGTCACCACCCAAGTTTTAAGTCTTGGATTCTTGGCGATGTTTGCTTTATTTGAGGTTCGTGCGTGCAGTTGATTTGTTTTTCCTTTTTTTTGTTTTTCCAAGGATGGCATCTTTTGGTTGAATATTATATTGTTTTTGGTGTGCATGTGAATGTAATATTTGTGATTGCGTTTTTGCTGATTTTGTGATCTCATTACACTTGCTGGGACTAACGTAGCTTCGTGATTTGGTTGGTGATTATATGACATGCTCATCGTCCACGCATACGTGTCTATCATTGTTGACTACTTTTTGCTAAGAGAGTAATATAACATGGTAGGGCCTCATCATATCATATTCTCTAATTGTTGTATTGCAATGTTTAGCTCCGAACAAACATGTTTGTAGCTAGAAGTCCTGTTGTTTGTTGTATGATAGTTAGGGCTCGAGTACTATTAAATATTGTTTGTGGCCTGTGGTGTCAATCCTTTTTTATTTCCACTCTTCCTCCATTGTTTGAGCTTGGGGTGGCGCTAAGTGCTGGTTTCCAATTTAGACTCTTGATGCCGTTTGAGCTCATAATTGGCTAGCTTACATGTTTTACAATAGGGTTGCAAATAAATTGAATCTCATTATATTCCATTTTGTATCTGATCAACTTTGCAATTATGTATTCTTGTTTATATCCAAAGTCTAAATTTGATTGTTATTCTCTTCGTTTGAAATATTTGAATATTCAGGCTCATTCTAATTTTCCTAGAAATAATTTTATCTTCTTTTTCTTGAAAATATAATTGTTGCATTCCATTAACTTCTAACAACACGGTAAACATCCAGAGAGTAATGTTAAGTTTCTTTAATGAAAAATGGGCATTATATGGCAATAGAGGAAAATAGCAATGGTGACAATTCAGGTGGTGTTACTTTTCCCGCTGCCAACGTCACTTGAATACCAAACTGTGATCTGGATGTCAATTTTTAGGGAGTCGACACCATTTTCCTGGTTGTTTTTCTTTCATTTTGCATAACTTTATCCATTTTCTGCGGATGTGATCTGACAGCAAGAGATCAGTAGATCGGTCTGCTAAAGGTAAACATTATGTTTAATATGCGCCTCATAATATGAAGTAAATGCACCATGAGGTATTAGTAATGCATTGCCTAACATCCTGTAAATTCATGTTACCTAAACTTCTCCGTAAAAAAGTTGTCTGCATGCCTGTACCTGACTTTTTGTGTTCTCTTCATTACATTATTTATGGACTCAGGATTCAAAAATGCAAAATTTGACAAAGCTGGTTTCTGGAAACCCCTCCTAAATCATCGTATAGGTGTATATGATACGACAAGTTTTATGTTGGGTGGTGTCTGTCTGTTTTCTTAAATGGACTAGAATAATAAGATTCCATTTAGGAGGCATGCGAATATTTGACTTGTTGATTTTTTGTTTATTCGTTCTACAAAATGGGAACTAAAATGTATGCATACCAAATACTTTGAGACAAACATGCACAAATTGCTGACCAAATATTTTCATGTTTTACTTTGTAACACCCATATAAGGCGGTAATGATTTATGATTGTGTCAAAATGTGGTTCACTTTCCTTTTACATTGAGGAATGCTCAGCGGCGACACCGCCCATATCGCCATAACACCTCGCAACGTCTTGAAGGTCAGAATGCAGGTTAGCTCTCTCCCAATGATCGCTATCGTGCCACCAATTCTTCTCAGCGGAGCTAATTACTGCCATTTGTTTCTTGGTAGCAATTATCATGAAATTAGTGATGATGATATGATGATGGTGGTGTTGGTGACTCATAACCGAAAGCATGTTTCGGTATGTGTAGGAATTATGATTTCTATGTAATCTAGCTACATGAATATGATTTCCCAGTTCCTCTCTCTTTTAGACAGTGTTTTTTATTTTTTTCGTTGAAATATCATGGCATTCTGTCAGGGTTTAGTACTCAGCAGAGAAGAAGGTGCTTCTACACTTTGGAGGGGTTAGTCGAGCAAACTTATGCAGATGCTCTTCGTGAGGTAATGTAACTCTACATTCTTAGCTATATCAACTGGTTGTGCTATTTAGTTTTTACCGTTTTCATGCTTCTTATATGAAGTTTCTCTATGTTTTG